GGATCGCGACGTGGCGAACGATGGAGGGTTCGAGAGCGATGATCGCTCGCGGGTGGTGGCGCTGAAGGAGGCGCTGGAGGAGGTGCGAGAGACGAGGGACGCGCTGTTGGCGATTCGCGCGGACGGCGGGTCGAGCGCCGAGGCGATCGCGGAGGCGAAGGCGGCGGTGATCGAACGAACGCCGAGCGTGCGACGATGGATCGCGGGGGGGAGTGCGATGGCGAAGATGAGCGAAAGGATGGAGGCGAGGGATCGGTTTTTGATTCACGCGTGCGTCGCGTGCGGGCAGGCGCACCTGTTCGGGGACGAAGACGCCGAGGACGCCAAAGACGACGTCGAGGGGCGCGTTCGCGAGCTCGTGCGCGTCCTGAGTAAGGTTGAGACGTTTTATGACATGCTTGGAGGTTTGGTCGGGTATCAGTGCACCGCCATGGAGCTGGCTCTGGAATCGCTCACGGGCGAGCCCGCGCGCATGCACAGCGCTGAGGAGTGTCAAGGCGAGGATTGTAACGCCGTGGGTGGGGATGTGAACTTGCTCGTGCCTCCTGGGGTGGATTTGCGCGCGCACGACGGCGCGTTCGCAGCCACCGCCGCGCGTTGGGGCGTGGAGGAGCTTCCAAACATGGCTGAGATTTATCCGCTCGGAGGCGCGGGCGACCGCCTCGGTTTGAAGGACGCAGAGACCGGGGAGAGTTTGCCCGCGGCACTGTTGCCTTACAACGGTAGACCGCTCATCGAAGCGCTCATTCGTGACCTCACCGCCAGGGAGTGGCTATATTACAAGCTCACCGGGGAACACCACAGGACGCCCGTGGCGGTGATGACGAGCGCGGCGAAACGGAATCACGCGCGCATACTGTCTTTGCTCGAGGATAACAATTGGTTCGGTCGGGGCGAAGATAACTACAAGCTGTTCGAGCAACCGCTCGTTCCAGTCGTGAGTGTCGATCGCGGTCTTTGGGTTCGAGAGGATTTCTGCGAGATGTCTCTCAAACCTGGCGGGCACGGCGCCATCTGGAAGCTCATGCACGACGAAGGCGTCTTTGATTGGCTCGAGGCGAGGCAGAGGCGAGGCGCCATCGTGCGTCAGATCTCCAATCCCATGGCGGGTACCGACACGACGCTCTTGTCGCTCTCGGGCGTCGGCGTCAAGGGCGACAAAGCCCTCGGCTTTGCGAGCTGCGAGCGTCACGTGGGCGCCGCAGAGGGTGTGAACGTGCTCGTCGAAAAGAGAGAGCTCTCGGGCGAGTACGCGTACGGCGTATCGAACATCGAGTACACCGACATGACGCGACTCGGCGTCCAAGATGTTTCTAGCGATTCGCAAAGCGCGGAGAGCGCATATCCGGCCAATACCAACGTCCTCTTTGTCGGTTTGAAGCACATCCGGGAAACGCTCGTGAGCTCGTCCAGGGCGGCTTTCCCGGGCATGTTGATAAATCTCACCAAACCAGTGATGGAAAACGGAACGAAGGGTGGAAGATTGGAGTGTTCGATGCAAAACATCGCAGATGCGCTGATGCGTCGCTCGAAAAATCGTCTCGGACCTGCGGACTTTGAGAATTTGCCGACGTTTGTGTTGTACACGCTTCGGCGTCGCGTCACGAGTAGCGCGAAGAAGAAAAGACCACCTGAGTCTAGAAATCTCGCGCAAACTCCAGACGGATCGTTCTTGGATTTGCTTCGCAATGCTAGCGATTTGCTGAAGCGGTGCAACGTGTCTCATCCCTCCCCGGATAGCCAACCGCTCGAGGAGTATTTGGAGAGAGGACCAGATTTCATATTCAGCGCCAGTCCGAGCATCGGTCCGCTTTGGGACGTCGTTGATCAGAAGATCCAGGGTGGCGTGATAGAGAAAGGATCCGAGGTTCGTCTCGAGATCGCAGAGATCGAGTGGAGAGACGTCTCGGTGCGAGGATCGTTGTTCGTCGAGGCGGCGTCGCCGCTCGGTCCGGCGCGCGACGGAACCGTGTATTTTGATGAAGGCGCATGTGGACGATGTCGCCTTCGCAACGTTCGAGTCTCCAACGACGGCATCGATCGGAACGAAAACTCGAACGTTTATTGGAGTAACTTTATCGCTAGAACAGAACGTTGTTCGATTTTTCTCGAGGGTAGCGGCGAGCTCGACGCTCTAGACGTCACGCTCGCGGGGGACGTGCGCTACGTCGTGCCGGACGGAAAGCGACTGACGCTGCGACCCGACGGCGCGGGTGGTGTTCAAGAAACGTGGGACGACATCGTCTCACCGTCTTGGCGTTGGTCTTACGCGTTTGGCGACGACGACCGCATCGACGTCGTCCTCGAAGAAAAGAGTTGATTCATTGCTTGCAGCCGCGAAACCTTCATTCATTTTCATTTGCAATTTCCAGTAAGAAACGATTAGCGATCAAAGAATGCTCCGTTACATCGTCGTTACATCATCGTTTGAGTCGTCGAGCTATTGAATCTTGGGAATGAAACCCGGAGGACAGTAAACTTCCCCCGGAGGAGCGCCGTTTTCAATCGACTCGGCGGCATCGACGACTGGCACGCGGCGACGTCGTCCTCTCACGGCGACGTCCATTTCGTGACTCGTACCGAGATCGTCGTAACTGTCGTCGAAACTCGCGTTGAGCTCATTCGTCGCGAGCGCCATCGGCACGAAGAGCGCTCGCGCCGACGCCTGATCCAGCCGGCTAAAAGTTTCCTTCCCGATAGCCGTCGTGAGTCGCGCGTTCACGCCGCGCTTGCACCCGCCGATGCACTTGGCGCGCGCCTCGCACTTCCAACCTCGCGGTAAGTTTGCGCGTAAATCGTCCACGATGGCTTCGGATCCTCGTTTTTTGCAATCCTTGCCCGTGCACACCTCGATGCGCGCGATCGGTACCTCGTTCATCGCGTCGCCCAAAACGACCGGGTCCAGGAGCGGGCACGCGCCGATGGTCGTCAACGCCGTCGGCGCCGACATCGAGCGCGCGACGTCCACGACGCGTAAACCGTCGCCCAGGGCGTCCGCGAGGGCCTCGGTTTCGCGCTTCTTTCGCGACACAATCTTCCCCAACTTTGAGACGAGCGTCGCCTTTTTGCCCTTTTTGCCCTTCTTCTTCCCCTCAGCCTTCTTCTTCGCCTCGACGACTTTACCCTTCGCCTTACCGCCCTTGTTCTTCTTTCCGCGCGCGACGACGCCCGCCAACGCGTCTCGAAGCGTGAGTTTCTTCATCTTTTTCACCCTCTTCGTCGCGCGCTTCATCATCCCCCGCTCGTCGTCACTGCTCTCGCTGCTGCTGCTGCTCTCGCTGCTGCTGCTGCTGCTGCTGCTGCTGCTGCTCGACGAGCTACTACTCCCGCTCCCTTTCCCGCGTGTCTTCTTCGCCTTCGCCTTCGCCTTCTTCTTCTTCTTCTTCGTCGCCGTCGCCGTCGCCGTCGCCGTGCCATCCCTCGTCTTCCCCCTTCCACCCCCCCGACCTCTCCGGACGTCTTCGTACTGCGTCTCGTGCGCGTCCTCCGCGAACGGGATCACCGTCATCACCGTCGTCGCCGCGCCGACCCCGTCCCGCCCGTCCGCGCCATCGCCCTCGGCTTCGTCATCCGCGAGCGCGCATTCGCGGTCGTTCACGCGCGCACCCGCGCTCGTTCGCGCGGTCCATCGCGCGCGCGGTCGACGCCGCGCGCGACCGCGCGTCGTCGCCCGCGATGCGCCCGCGAGGGTCGGCGTCGACGTCACCCGCGCGCGCATCGCGCGAACCCGTCGCGCGGTGGGGTTTCGTCACCGAGGTGTTTCGATCAACGCCGACCGTCCGGCGCCGTGTGTCCGGCCAGATCCCATCGCGATCGGTCCGATGGTCCACCGGGCTCGCGCCTTTCGCCTCCTCAGCGTCCGCGTCGGTGGAACTCGACGCGACCGACGTGTATTATTGGTGTCGACACATATCAGGGTCCAGGACGTGATGGACCGACTCGGCGCTCGGCGCTCGTCAAAGGGCTCTACGTACGGAGAATGCGCGTACAGGCAAAGACGAGGACAGCCGCCTATCGATCACGACGTGGGCCATCGGGGTTTTGACTCGGTCGGGTACAAAAAACCATGGGCCTCCCACGGTCGACGCATAGATACTCGACGGTCGACCCATAGGTGCTCGACGGTCGACCGATGGGTGCTCGACGGTCGACCGATGGGTGCTCGACGTCTCGTACGACGTGGTCCACCGGTCGTGGACATCACGATCGATGGGTCGCGCGCGTGATGCGACGCACGACGTGTCGGGTCGTGATGCAGATCGTGATTTCATAGTGCGTGTACGTCAAGCCTATCATTTTTTCTGATAGTGACAGTGATAGGCATCACGTGACCGCGACGACGACATGTCGGCACCGGTGTCGAGGACAGACGGCGATGATGCGTCCAGTATGTCACTCGTCGACCCCTGTAGCACGTCACGTCGACACCGCTCGCGCGAGCGCGAAAGGTTAATAATACATCACCGTCGACCGGTTGTGCTCGTGATTGAAATCACCACGTGTCGGGTGGTGATGTCGATCGTGATGCCGATTGTGCCCAACCGAGGCGCGCGTGGGACACACACGGTGGTGTCGTGATGTATAATACGATGTGAAAAATCATACTGTGCGCATCTGAGAGGTATGGAACGCGCGAGCGAGACGCACGCGGGGCGGCGACGACGCCGAGGCGACGCGACGGCCGCGACCGCGCGCGCGCGCGAGAGAGACCGCGACTCGCGCGCGGGCGACCGCGCGCGGGCGTCACGGCGGTTCCGGGCGCGCGCGCGGGCGTCGGGGAGGGGGATTCCACGCGCGTGTGCGCCATCGGACGATCGCGACGACGGGAAGGAATCGCGCGCGATGGACGCGACGGCGACCGCGGTGCGGGGCGGTGAGGGCGAGGACGACCGAGGGGTGATGCGCGGTGAAGGGCTGAACGCGGACGTGGCGGCGATACCGGAGGCGAGCTCGAGCGAGAAGAGGGAATCCGCGGGACGGGACGGGCGCGAGGCGAAGCGCGCGCGGACGGATGGAGAGAACGACCGACGCGAGGCGCGGGCGGTGGGTGAGGCGAACGATGGGAAGAGTGATGAGGAACGGGCGCGGAACCTACCGAAGTGGTTGGGGGTGAAGGTGCAAAACGTGCCGAGCACGCTCTTGGACGAGACGGAGCGAAAACTTCGAAGACCGATGGTCGATAAGATGGAGATGTATCGCCTGCTCGTGGCGCATTACGACCTCGGGGAGATCGATGTCGACAGCATTAGTGAACTTCCGTCGTACGATGATAAGAATTGGTACATCAAGGCGAAGAAGCTGAACGAACAGGGCGACGCGGAGACGAAGGAGTACGTCGTCAAGGTGCACAACGGAGTCGATAGCTCGGGGGTGAGTCGCGGCGTGCTCGCGGCGCAGGAGCGAGTGATGATGCATTTGCTCGCGCACGGTGTGGAGTGTCCGCGAGTGGTGCGATCGAAGGTCGCGATGTGGACCACGCCCGGACCGGACGGGACGGTGAACCTCGTACCGGCGGGAACGCCAGGGTCGACGCAGGAACACTGTACGCGCGTGACATTTCTCGCCAGTAACCAGATCGCGCACACGCTACGCGTCATGACGTATCTGCGCGGTAAGACAGTTGTGCAGGTGCCGATGCCCCACCCCGTGGAGTTCGTTCACCGACAAGGATTGTTCGTGGGTCAAATTTGTCACGCTCTGTCCAAGTGGCCGACGCCTAACGAGTTGGAGATTCTCCAAAAGACCACCTTTGCCGACAGCTTCGCCGTGCCCTACGTCCAACAGTGCGCGATGTGCTGGAAAGTGCTCGCGGCCTCTTCTCGGCTCTGGGATCTTCGCCACTTTATGGATGTGCAACACTTTTTGACGGATCTCGTCGTGAGGCGACTGTTTGAGGACGACACGCGCATCATGATGTGCAGCACCGTCTTCAGCGCGTTCAAGCACCTGGTGCTTCCGGTGGCGGATAAGCTTCGCGTCGGAATTTTGCACAACGATCTGAACGAGCAGAACATGATCGCTTTGGATAGCGGACCTGATCCGGTGAAGTTTCCGGCCGCTTCGAGGTTCGCCTGCATCGATTTCGGCGACGTCGTCGTCTCATGGCGCATCAACGAGGTCGCCATCGCGTTGGCGTACTGCGCGCTCGATAAAGAGGATCCTATTAGAGACATGTCGATCATGCTCGCGGGGATTCAGAACGTGTTCCCGCTCACGCCATCTGAGATGCGAATTTTACCCTGTCTCATCGCCGCTCGTTTGGTCACGTCGCTCGTCATGGGTATGTACTCCTATCATATGCAGATCGTCAGCGAGTCAGACAACGCGGAAACGACGACGGCGCCAAAACCAAAGGGAAACGAGTACGTGCTCACGACACAAAAATCCGCGTGGACGGCTCTGACGCACGTGCTCACCGTCGGCGCCGAAGCGATGTTTAAGAGATTTATCATCGACGCGTACTCTGAGAGCCCCACGACTGCTGCGCCGTCGTGAACGACCAGAGCAGCGCGACGGTCAACGCGAAACATATCATGAGTTAATCCTCAAAACACTCCATCGACATGTAATCAAATACGAACTTAACTGCATCGACGAACGAAGAATGTGCGATAATTTCCAATAACAATGTCTCTACGCGCAGTCGCCTTAAATCTCGAGCTTTGCGATCAATTCGGAATCGTTGTTGATCGGATTCTTCGGTTCGAGCTTGACGAGATCGATCGGGGCCTTTCCAGTACCGTTCTTCGCCTGCTTGTCGCATCCCTTGTCCAAGAGCGCGCGCACGGCGAACGGCTTCCCGTAGCCGCACGCGTAGTGCAACGGCGTGTTCTTCTTCTCATCCGTCGCCGTGAGATCAGCCCCGGCCTCGAGCAAGAGGTTGAAGATTTCCTCTCCCGCATCGCCCTTCCCGAACGCGATCGCGTAGTGAATCGGCGTTCGCGATGAGGAGTCCCGCGCGTTGATGTTTTTACCGACTGCGATGAAATCCTCAACCGCCTCAACGTCACCGTACCGCGCGGCGTCGTGCAGGGTCTCCACCTCCGGCGTCGGTGCCGCCGCCGCGGGCGCGCTCATGGCCTCGGGCGGCGCCACGCCGCCCGCCGCGGCTCGAATCGCTTCCTCTCCGCCCAACGCGTCGTTCAGGCGCTGCAAAAATTCCCTATCATTCGCCCACTTCATCATCGCCCCCGGTCCGTTTTTCCGCAAGTCATCAAAGAAATCCGCGAACGCCGGGTCATCCTTCAACGACGCGATCCGTTTTTGCATCTCAGGATTCGCCACCATGTTGTTCATCGCCTGCATCTGTTGCTGCACCATCGGATTCTTCATCATCCCTTGCATCTGCGCCATCTGCTCTTGCACCTTTTTCGCCGTCTCCGGGTTCTTCATCGCCTCCGCGTACGCCCGCTGCATCTCCGCCATCTTCTTCGGGTCCATGTTCGGCGGCATGCCCGGCATGCCACCCCCTGGCGGGAGCATGCGGCGGCGTTGGACGTCCCCGCGTCCGCCCGCGATAGATCCGAGTTCGCGTCGCATCCGCACCGCTCGCGCGCGCGTTCGCGTCGTCAGAGCGCGCGTCGCGGGCGTCATCAACGTCATCGTCGTCGGCATCGCGTGCGCGCGCGCGGGGCTCACGCGCGGCGTCGACGTGCGCGGATAACGCGCGCGCGAACGCGACGGGCGTCGATCGAGATCGAGTCTCGGTCACGACGAGTGATGACTCGAGGACTAGGGTTTACGACCACGCACGCCGCCGCAACCGCGCACCTCGACATCGAGTCCCGTGCTTCACGAGTCATGACTCAAGAACGCACGAAGCACAGGACGACGTCCACGGACGCGCCCCCGCGCGCGGGCGACGCCGCGCACCGCGTCGCGCCACGACGTTCGCACGACGCGCGCTCGCGCTCGCGCTCGAACGCGCGGGCGACGCCCTCACCGCGCGCGCGGCGACGGGCGCGAGAGAATCGATGACGATGGCGACCCGAGGGGTGATGCCGCCGTCGCGGACGATCGGCCGCGTCGGCGCGCGCGCGACGCGGGCGGGGCGCGATCGAACGGTAGGGTCGGTCGCGAACGCGCGCGCGCGAACGACGCGGGCGCGGGATGGGGTATGGACGCGGGCGCGCGCGGGGGGGGGGGCGGCGGCGGCGCGGGCGAGCGCGGCGGCGGATCCGGCGAAGACGGCGTCGGCGTTCGCGACGATGCGGGCGCCCGTGAACTCGCATGGATTTGAGTTGGTTCGGGAGGATTACATATCGGAGTACGACGCGAAGGCGTTCTTGTTTCGACACGCGAAGACTGGGGCGGAGGTGATGTCGCTGAGTAACGAAGATGAGAATAAGACGTTCGGGGTGACGTTTCGAACGCCTCCGTCCAACTCCACGGGGATTCCGCACATCTTGGAGCACTCCGTTTTGTGCGGATCGCGCAAGTATCCGATAAAGGAACCGTTCGTGGAATTGATCAAGGGGTCGCTGAACACGTTTCTCAACGCGATGACGTGGCCGGACAAGACGGCGTACCCGGTGGCTTCTTGCAACTTACAAGATTTCCGCAACCTCACCGACGTCTACCTCGATGCGGTGTTCCACCCGCGATGCATCACGAACGAGAAGACGTTCGAACAAGAGGGCTGGCACTACGAGCTCGACGACGCGAACGCTCCCATGACGTTCAAGGGTGTCGTCTTCAACGAGATGAAGGGCGTGTACTCCTCCCCGGACTCCGTGCTCGCGCGCGAGTGCCAACAGGCGCTGTTTCCGGATAACACCTACGGCGTAGACTCTGGTGGAGACCCCACGGTCATTCCGGAGCTCACGTTTGAAGAGTTTAAGGATTTCCACGCCAAGTATTACCATCCGAGCAACGCGCGCATGTGGTTCTATGGCGACGACGACGTGGAGGAGCGCCTGAAGATTTTGGCTTCGTTCCTCGACGAATTCGATCGTCGCGAGGTCGACAGCTCGATCGGCACGCAAAAGTTCTTTTCCGCGCCCAAGCGCGTGGTGAAGACGTACACCACGGGTGAGGGCGAGGACGCACAAAAGTCCTTCGTCCAGGTCAACTGGCTCTTGAGCGAGGAACCGTTCGACCCGGAGACCGGTCTCGCTGTCGGTTTCCTCGATCATCTCCTCATGGGCTCGGCCTCCGCGCCTCTTCGTCTGGCGCTTGAAGAGTCTGGACTTGGCGAGGCCATCGTCGGGTACGGATTGGAAGATGAGCTTCGTCAACCGACGTACGCGTTGGGTTTGCGAGGCGTCGCCCAAGAGGACATCCCAAAGGTCGAAAAGCTGATTCACGATACGATCGCCGAGATCGCGAACGAGGGTTTCTCGCAGTCGGCGATCGACGCGGCGATCAACAGCATCGAGTTCAGCCTGCGCGAGAACAACACCGGCCGATTCCCTCGCGGATTGTCGCTCATGTTCCGCTCCATGAGCACGTGGCTGTACGAGGGTGATCCCTTTGAACCGCTTCGCTTCGAAGAACCCCTCGCTAAGCTCAAGGCGCGAATCGCGTCTGAGGACGTCTTCCGCCCGCTCATGCGCAAGATGCTCATCGAGAACACGCACCAAGTCACAGTCGAGCTCAACCCAGACTCGACGCTCGCCGAAAAGGAAGCCGCTGAAGAACAAGCAAAGTTGGACGCCAAGCGTGCGAGCATGTCGCCGGAAGACATTGAGGCCATGGTCCAAGCGACGAAGGAATTGAAAGAGCTTCAAGAGACTCCTGACTCTCCGGAGGCGCTCGCGTGCGTGCCGACGCTCGCGTTGAGCGACATCCCAAAGGAAGCCAAGGGAATCCCCACGGATATCTCCTCCGTCGGTGCCACGAAGGTGTTGACGCACGATTTATTCACAAACGACATCTTGTACGCGGAGCACCTCCTTGATATGAAGACGGTGCCGGTGCACCTCTTGCCACTCCTTCCGCTGTGGACGCGCGCGCTCGGTCGCATGGGTACCGCCACCAAGTCGTTTGTTGAGTTCGATCAGCTCATCAGCGCGCAGACCGGTGGGATCTCGGTTACACCGTTTACCTCTGGTATGCGCGGTTCGGACGAGATGCAAGCGTTCATGGTCGTTCGCGGCAAGGCGACGAGCGACAAAGTGGGTGTCCTTCACGAGCTCATGACGGAGCTCATGCTCGAGGCAAAGTTCGACGACAAGAACATCTTCAAGCAGCTCGTCCTCGAAACGCGCGCGGCGATGGAGTCTCGCGTGCAAGGTTCGGGTCACGGCGTCGCCGCGGGTCGCCTCGACGCGCAAGACTCCGTCGCAGGCTGGGTGAGCGAACAGATGAACGGCTTGGCGCAACTCGATTACCTTCGAGAGCTCACCAAGCGCGTCGATAGCGATTGGGCGGGCGTCTTGGCGGATCTGCAAACCATATCCGCTTGCCTGAACAACCGCGCCGGTAGTATCACCAACCTCACAGCCGACGCCAAGACTCTGGACTTGGCGATGCCGTCAGTGGAGGCCTTCCTGAACTCACTCCCGGCGAAGGGCGCCGGATCGCCGCAGCAGTGGAACACCATCAACCCGAAGCAGAATGAAATTCTCACCGTGCCGACTCAAGTAAACTACGTCGGCAAGGGTGCGAACTTATACAAGGCTGGCTACGAGCTCCACGGTAGCTCGTACGTGATCAACAAGTTGCTCGGGACGACGTGGTTGTGGGATCGCGTGCGCGTCTCCGGCGGCGCGTACGGCGGCTTCAGCGATTTCGACTCGCACAGCGGTATGTTCACCTACCTTTCGTACAGAGATCCGAACTTGTTGAAGACGTTAGACAACTACGACGCCACCGTCGACTTCCTGCGGAAGCTTGAGATTGGCAAGGAGGAGCTCACGAAGAGCATCATCGGTACCATCGGCGACGTTGACTCGTACCAGCTTCCGGACTCCAAGGGTTACACGGCTTTGATGCGACACCTTCTTAACGTAACGGACGAGGAGCGACAAGAGCGTAGAGATCAAATCTTGGGCACGACGCAGAAAGACTTCCGCGATTTTGCCGACGCGCTCGAGGCCGTTCGTGGTCCGAACGCGACCTCTGTCACCGTCGCCTCGCCCGAAGCCGCCAAGGCTGCGGTCGCCGAGCGCCCCGAGTTGAACTTTGTCGTCAAAAACGTCATGTAGACGACGTCGAGGCCGAGATTTAAACGAAAGAATTTAGTTTGCGCGTAAAATTAATCACAAATCGTACAAAAAAAATTCCGCTCCGGGTCGCGTCGGAATCATCTACATCCACCGATCGCGATCTCCCCCTCCAAATCCAACGTCGGATTATCACAAAGCTTCCTCGCATCGCTGCTCGACACCAGCGCGCCCTCGAAATTCGCTCCCGCAACGTCGGCCCACTGCCCCTTGCTCTTTCCAAACGTCGCGTTGGACAACAACGCATTCTCAAAGTTCACCCCTCTCAGGTCGCTCCCATCGAATCGCGCCTCGTAGCAGTTCGCCGACCTCAAATCCGCTCCTCGCAAGTTTGCGTTTCGCACCGACGCCCTGGACATCTCCGTCGCCGACAGATCGCTCTTCTCGAACGACGCTTCGTCCATGACGGTTCCGCTCAAAACCTTCCCGTGCAGGTCTCTCTCGCTGTAATCGCACCCGCTCAGCGTCAACACCGCCTCCGGGAGCGCTCCCGTGCTCACCTCCAAGGAGAACTTCGCTCGAACGTCCGCGAACGCGTCGAGCGCGGCGTTGGTGCACGCGGCTTGACCACCCTCCGCGAACAACGGCGCGGGCTTGGACCCGGGCGCGGCGAAAGCTTCCATCGGCGCCAACGTCACGCACAGACTCACCGCGCACGACGCGAGGGCGCGGGCGATCGCTCGCTCGGTCTCGCGCACCGGTCGACGGGCGGTCGTCACGTTCGTCGGGACGACGCGGCGCGCGGCGGCGGCGCGCATCGCGTTGTGAGGCGTCCTTGCGTTACAAATCAACGACGCCCGTCTCGCGTCCTACGTCTTCCTGCGCTTCGACTCGCGATCGACGTCGCTCTTCTCTCGCTTCTCTCTCTTCTCTCTCTTCTCCTTCTTTTCCTTCTTTTCCTTCTTTTCCTTCTTGTCCTTCTTCGCCGCCGTCGCTCGCGTCTCCGTCGTCTCTCGCGGCGCCCCCCCCCCCTCGTCTCGCCTCGCCGCCGGCGCCTCCACCACCGCGTCCGCCCGCGTGATCATGAGCACACCATCGACCGCTCGACACGCGCGATCGAACACCGTGCGTCCGCCCTCGGCGTCGCTCAAATCGTACGCCCACGCCCGCGCGCGGCCGCCGTCCCGCGCCGCGCACGTCGTCCCCCATCCCCCCGTCGTCGTCCCGCGTTCGAGCGTCACCACCGCACCCTCCAGCGTCGACTTCACCACGTCCTTCGCCACGCGCACGAGCACCAGCGCCGCGTCCGCGTCGTCGTCGCGTCGTCGCGCGCGATGCGCGCTCGGCAC